CAGAAAAGGAGAGGAAGAGAGAAAAATTTTACAACATTATAAAAGACATAGAATGTACATTAGCCACATCATTTCTGAAGATTTAAATAGATCTCCCAGGTTCCCATGGCTTCAGATTCCACCACCACCTGAGGTGTTACACAAATTCCGTGGCAGGAGTTACCACGTGTCTGTAGCAGGGGCCCTGGGTTCCACAAATACCTACTTGGCCACTGGGTGAACAGCGATTCCTCGTGGCTGAGAGATGTTCTCCTTAATGATTGGTTGACGATGTTTACCACTTAGATCACTCCCTTCAATGACAGATTTCCTGAAATGTAGGTCATACAAGAATGTTTTGTTCTATCATCTTTACTTTTCGAACAAAAGCATCCTCATTCATGATATGCTATCTCTTAAACATATACACATATATACAGTACAAAATTAGCACCCACAAGCCCCCTCTGATTTAAGACACCATCTTGGAACTAACTTCCTGATACCTGTCTGAGAAATAAGAGAAAGTAAAAAGATGCTGGGACAGGGGCCTGGCAGGGATAACAACAGGATAAATGCCCTCAAGTCTCTTGCAGAAGCAACGGAAGCCAGAAGCAAGAGAGTTGTCAGGCCCCTGGACAGAGAACCAGGAGGAGGGGACAAACCAGCATAGGACAGCAAGTGGAAGTTTATGATTTTCATCCATCTCTCTCTTTGTGTATGTTGGGGAGAGGGGCTGGGAGTAGGAACTGGGATTTTGAACTCAGGGTCTTGTGCCTGCTCAGCAAGTGCTCTACCATCTTGAATCACACTTCCAGACCTTTCTGCTTTATTTTTGCAGATTATGTTGTGGACTTTTTGCCTGGTAGGTTTGGAACTCCAATCTCTGTATCCCAAGTAACTGGGATGACAGGCACAATCCATTGAGCCTGGTTTTGCCCATCTGATTCTAAGATGGTTGAGAATACAGTGGCTTCACTGACTACCCTGGAATCTTGTGCCCATTTTCCCCCAGTAGGAAGGAAGAAGTTCTGAGTCTACTTGCTGGGCCTGGGGGAATAAAACCATCAGCTCCATTTTCACATCCTCTATAAATTCTACTTGGAGGCTAGGAATGTGGTTTATTGGTAGAGTGCTTGCCTAGCATGCATGAAGCCCTGGGTTGGATTCCTCAGTACCACATAAACACAAAAAGCCAGAAGTGGCGCTATGGCTCAAGTGGTAGAGTGCTAGCCTTGAGCAAAAGAAGTTCAGGAACAGTGCCCGGGCCCTGAGTTCAAACCCCAGGACTGGCAAAATAAATAAATAAATCTACTTGGAGAAGGATTGGGTGATGAGAATTATTGAGCCCCGTGAGACACTCCCCGAATAATCCACTTCTATTTGGTTCAACCAAAAAGTGAAGTTCAAACTTACAGTGTAGGGAGCTTTAAGAAAGCAAAGAGTGGCACAAGTAGGCTCACCTCAACTCTAGTGTACTCCTTAATTGAAGGGAGCATCTCTTTGTATTCATTGGGAGCTTTCAAGGGAGACTACCACCCTACTTTCAGAGTGAGAGCTGCCCAACAAGATCCTCCAGAGAATGCTTTTTCAAAAAAAATCTTATGGTAGTTTTTGCTACTCACCCCCAAACGGATAAACATATATTTCTACCTCCTTAATTTAATTAGCGTTAGTAACCAGTAATCCTTCATACTAAAGAATAATAGCATTGCATGGGGGATTAACAATTAGCTTCCTTCCTAGACCTTAGATGTTTGTTGAATCTGTCCCTTCCTAGGCCAGTAGAATATGACCAACTCTGTTATCATGTCATCAAATACCATGACACTGCAATCTCAATTATTTAAATCCAATTTCTAGCTAATATCAAGGTTTTCCAACTGTAAACATCTCATTGCTAGACAAATGAAAGGTTTACATTTGGCAGCTGTCTTCAGAGGTTAGAGGACTTAAAAGGGCTTGTGATTACTGAAGTCAATGAGGGAGAAAATTTGAGGTCTAATTTTGCAATATAGGGTTGTGTGGGCATACCTCTGTACTAGCTACCACCATACTAGTAATCAAATATTGCTAAATGACAGGACATGGAAAAATAGGTAAAAGGCCCATTGCTCTTAGAAGGCTCAAGAGTGTTAACACCTATTGTCATGATCAATGTTTACTCTCTGAAAACAACACACTAGCTATTATTATGAGCAGCTGACACTGAAAACATCCTTTCAAGTAGGTTCAGCATGGAGAAGGCTGTTTTTATTATTTTGATCATTATTACAGTTATGGTCAATTTAAATTTGTTCCATGAGACTCTAGGTTTGGCACATTTAAACCAACTCTGATTGGAAGAGAAAGTCCTCTCTATGATGATTTTTGCTAAGGATTCTTGCTAAGGATTGAGTTCAAGGCTTTATATATGCTAAATACATATCATCCTTTTGAGCAATAGCATAGTCCAACTTCTATGATCATCATTAAAAATGATCATCTTTGGACTCTGCTTCCAGATCTGATATACTTGAACGACTGGCTCTGGTCAAATTATTTCACTTTCTCTGATGATCAATTTTCTTCATCTTCAAACTGGAGATAAGAAAATACATCTCTCTGAAAATTAGCAGTCTTCTGGATGGAAAGCTTTACTCACGGTATCTAGTAAATTATAGCTATTCAATAAATGAATACCCAGATAGTAAAGGAATGAAGGCACAAATGATGTCAGACACAGAGGTGAAGACTGGGAGGGTCACTGGAGGTCAGCACAGGAAAAAAAAATTACAAAGAGCTTTATCTCAACAAATAAGCTGGGTGTGGTGGAAATCTGTGGCTCCAGCTGTGTGGGAAGCCAGCACTGTAGTGCCAGCCCATGCAAGTCTGGACAGAAACTTAAAGAAGACTGTATCAAACAGTCAATAATTTTAAACAAAAGAGGTTGAACGCATGTCTCAAGTAGCAGATCACTTGACGAGCAAGCTTGAGACTGAGTTCAAACTATTACCGCCAAAAAATGTGCATAGACCAATATATAGATGATCAAATAGCTAATAAGTGATAAACATAGATGATAGATAATAACTATAGATAATAGACTATAGATAGATGATATAAATAATAGCTGTGAAATACAGGTAATAAATGATAAATATAGATAATAGGTGATAGATAAGTGATACCTATATAGAGATAATGATAATAGATGATAGATATAGATGAAAGAGGTGATAGATGGATAAAAGATTGATGACAGATGATAGATACGGACAGATGATAGATACAGATAATAGATGAAAGGTAGAGAGATGAAAAATGTTCACCTTGGATATGGAGGTGCCATTTATTGATGATTGCATACCACATACTTCTCACTTATTTTTTACTTACTTTTGTCAGTCGTGAGGCTTGAACTCAGGATCAGAGTGCTGTCTTTTACTCAAGGCTAGTGTGCTACCACTCTGAGCCATGATGCTACTTCCTGTTTTTTAGTGGTTAATTGGAGATAAGAGTCTCATGGGGACTTTTCTGCCCAGGCTGGCTTTGAACCTCTATCGTCAGTTCTCAGCCTCCTGCGTAGCTCGGTTTACAGGCCTGAGCCACCAGTGAGTGGCGTCACTTATTTTTAAGACCTTGTTTTCCCTCAGTAATACAAACGCATAGAGGTTTTCTGGGATACAGAAAGCTCATAGCAAGCATATAAACCCATTCCCTGGGGCTTTCCTCTCTGGGCTGGAATTGCTGCTTCATGCAGTTCACTCACTCTTTGTTTCTTCACACATGGTGCACAGCTACCATTTCACATCATGGCTTCCGTTCCTGGAGCACATAGCACCTCTGATGTATCTGGTGAGGGACCATGGCCGACAACCTCTCTCACAGAAGGAAGGAAGCGAGCTCTTTTCAGCACCTCAGTGAGGCAACTATTTCTTCACTAGCTTTTCTCCAACCCTTTCCTGTTCTGTCCCCATGGTGACACAGGCCACCTGGACACCAAGAGCAGCAGCCATTCCTGCAGCCCCCAGTCTAGCATACCCAGAGTACAGAAACACCCGGACTGCACTCTAGTTCTATGGTTCCCAACCCAAAGAGAAGCCGATCCACCCCTCCAATCTCATAATCTGTCCTTCCCGCTCGAGTAACAGTCCCTCTCTCTCCTTCAAGTCTGCTTCTCTGAGCCAGCACGTCCAGTGGTGTGACCTGGAATAACTCATCCCTTCTGAACCCTGTAAAAGTTGGGGGTTGGGCAGGCTCACCCAGCCATCCTTTTCAGAATGGACACCTTCCAATTGATAGCTACCTGCACAGACTTACAATATTTCTTCTACCTATGAACAGTCCAAGCATTTGTTTGGCTGGGGAAATAATGCTTTGTCTTTCCAGTTAAACTGTGTGCTGGCTGCAAAGCTGGATAGTATCTCATGTTCCTTTGTCTCTCTCAGAAAACCTAGGAGAGCGGTTGACCCATAGCAGAGATTTGAAGGATGCATACTATGGTACTCACATTTCAGGTTTCTCTGTTAACAAAGCCTGAACAGCAAAAGCACAAGGCTACTTTTTTAGTCCTGGAAATCTTTCCATAGCAGTTAGTTCAGTCTTGAAAGGAGTAACGGGCTTGCTGGAGGGCAGGGTGTGAGGGAATATAGATAGTAACATAGCCCCTTTCCACCATTCAGCAAGCCCCCAGCAACACCGGAAGAGGAAACCAGTGGTGTTATCTATTTCCTCTCTTCCTTCCCCTGAGGCTTCAAACCCAAGCAGGAAACATACCCTCTGTCCGTCCAGTAGATTCGACGGCCAATCCAGTCCACAGCAAGACCTTCAGGCATGTCTATTCCTTCCTGGATGAGCCTCTCTCGCTGAGAACCATCCATGCGAGCTCTCTCTATCCATTTCAGGGCTGTGTGGGCAAAATAGAGCTGCAGAAGAGAACAGAGGCATGACTGGTCTGCGCTTAGAAATGAATGTGGAAGTGAGAGAAGGGATGGGTTAGGAGCGATGTGGTCAGACACCTTGTATTCACATACTGTGTGGTAGAATGGGAACTCCTTTGTACACTACTTAAAGATAGTAAAAAAGTAAAAAAGGGAAATGAACGTGGAACATATCTAAAGAAGATGAAGGGGGCCTCGGGTCATCCAGGGTATCTGTGGAGAGCTTGGTTCTGAAGTTCAACACATCTACGATGAACCCCAATGGTTTTTCTTTCTGGTGTGTGGAGCTATAAACAAGTTTTCTTTTCTTTTTCTTTTTAGTTTTTGGTTATGCATGGGACTTGAACTTGGAGCTTGGGTACTGTCCCTGAGCTCTTTTGTTCAAGGCTAGCACTCTACCACTTTAAGCCACAGTGCCGCTTCCAGTTTTCTGGTGGTTAATTGGAGGTTAGAGTCTCGCAGAATTTCCTGCTCTGGTTGACTTTGAACTGCAATCTTCAGAACTCAGCCTCCTGAGTAGCCAGGATTACAGAAGTGAGCCACAGAAGTGAGTCTGGCTAGTTTTTCTTAGTCTTACAGAATCTTAGTGTCCTACTTGGCCAAATGGGGATAATAGAATAGCTTATTAAGTTACATGAGGTATAGATAGATATACATAGGCGTAAATCCTTAGTGTCTGCACATATTTCTACCGGCAATTTATTATTCTTTCCCCATTGATCCATGACATAGCCTTTGTTCTTGAACTTTAGTAGCTACTATAGCCTGAAAGGAAGGAAGTCATGATTTGATAAGGGGTATCAGCTGAGCAAGCTTCAAGCACTCACTCAGTAGCATATTACTTTAGGGCAGGTCAGAGGACATGGGTTCCATTCCTAAATTTGCCACATATTTGTTTCACTGTCCTGGCCAAGGCCTTGAACTTCAGTTTTCCTGACTACAGAACTTAGAACATACATTCATTGAAGTCGATTTTGTCTCTAACTTTACATAATTTCCCTTTTTGTGTGCACCAGTACTGGGCTTGAACTCAGGGCCTGAGACACTGTCCCTTTTTGCTCAAAGCTGATAGTGCTCTACCACTTGAGTCATACCTCCAGTTTTAGTTTTTTGATGGTTAATTGGAGATGTGTCACAGACTTTCCTTCCCAGGCCGGCTTCAACCTGAAATGATCTTGGCCTCCTGAGTAGCTAGTGAGCCACCAGTGCTTCATAATTTCTTTCTCTTCTCTTCTCTTCCATTCTTTTTTTCTCTCTTTCTTTCTTGCAGCTGTAGAGCTTGACCTCATGGCCCGGGCACTGTCGCTGAGCCTCTTTGTGCTCAAAGCTAGCGCTCTACCACTTGAGCCACAGTGCCACTTCTGGTTTTTGAGTGGATTATTGGAGATAAGAGTATCAAGGGGACTCTTCTGCGTGGGCTGGCTTTGAACCACAATCCTCAGATTTCAGCCTCCTGAATAGTTAGGAGTACAGGTGTGAGGCACCAGCACCTGGCTGATAGTTTCATTTTAGTTTGTCCATGTTGTCCAACTTTGCAGGTTCAAGGTTCTTTTTCAGTTAGTACACAAGCTATTAAAAGATTCCTGAATTTCATGAGAATGTTTGAATATCATATATATGATATATATGTGTGTGTGTGTATATATATATATATAACATGTATTTATATTGTGTGTGTGTGTGTGTGTATACCAGTATTGAGGTTTGAACTTAGGGCCTAGCACTCTAGCTTTTTCTGCCCAAAGCTGGCACTCTACCACTTTAGCCACACCTTTACTTGTAGCTTTTCCAGTGGTTAATTGGAGATAATGGTCTTCCTAGACATTTCTTCTTGGGCTGGCTTTGAATCATGATCCTCAGATCTCTCCCTCCTGGGAAACTGGGATTACAGAAATAAGCCTTGGGCATCCAACAAGATATAATATTTGACACCAACTACTGACCCATATTTGATTTGCCTTGAATCTCAATCTCCCATCCCTCTCACTCCCATCAAACTATCAAAAACCTATTTGTGGACTCCTTGTATGTGCTTGGCACTGGTGCTCATTGGAGCTCAAAAGATGCCCCAAAGTCTACATTTAACTTGCTCTGCATGTAAGCATTCTGGGCTTAGAGGATATTCATTTGCAAACATAAATACATCCTGCATTCTGTCCTGACAGCATACACATCTGTTCAGCCTACCTTGTTCTCCACTGGGTCATAATCGAGGGCGAAAACTGTCCCCACTTGCTGGCTGAGCAGGGTTCCATAATCTGTTCCGTCAAAGTGCATGCGTCGAATATCTTGAGAATTGGCAAACAGCAAAACTGGTGGTGGTCCTGTTAACAAAATGGCAAACACGGCTTATTTACCACCTGCTTTAGGAGCCACGAAGCATTCCTGACTTCCTTATTGTACCTTCTTTAATTTCTGCAGTATTCATATAGTTAGCTTCCCACCAGTGTGCTGCAGGCAAAGATAGGCAAGAAGACTTCCTCTCCCAAGATATCACACACTGCCAGGATTTCACCAAGGATCCTTATCTTTCTAGGTATCTGCCTTTAAAACACAAATTACTTACATACTTCATTCAATGTTCCAGACCAGAGCCAAATGAGACAAATATTGGGTCTATACACAACAACAACAACTTCTTGTTCTTGTTCTTCTTGTTCTTCTTGTTATTCCTCCTCCTCCTCCTCCTCCTCCTCCTCCTCCTCTTGCTTCTTCTTGGCTTGAACTCAGAACCTCATGCTTTTGCTTGGCTTTTTCACTCTAGGCTAGCACTTTTCCACTTAAGGAACATCTCCACTTCCAACTTCCTGGTGGTTACCTGGAGATAAGAGTCTCACAGACTTTTCTGCCCATGCTGGTTTCAAATCTGGATCATCAGATCTCAGCTTCCTGTGTAACTAGGATTACAGACATGGACTTTTTTTCTCTTCTCTTCTTTTCTTCTTTCCTTCCTTCGATCCTTCCTTCTTTTTCTTTTCTTTTCTTTCTTTCTTTCTTTTTTTTTTGGTGGGGGAGGAGCCAGTTCCAGGTATTGAACTCAGGGCCAAGGCACTGAACTTGAGCTTTTATGCTTAAGACTAGTGCTCTACTACTTGAGCCACAGCTCTGCTTCCAGCTTTTTTTTTTTTTTTGGTCCAGTCATGGGGCCTGAACTCTGGGCCTGGGCACTGTCCCTTAGCTCTTCAGCTCAAGGCTAGTGCTCTACCACTTGAGCCACAGCGCCACTTCTGGCTTTTTTCTTTTTGCTTAGGTGGTGCTGAGGAATCGAACCCAGGGCCTCTACCACTGAGCCACCTTCCCAGCCCTGCTTCCAGCTTTTTTTTATGAGGTAATTGGAGATAATAGTCTTACATGCTTTCCTGCCAGGGCTTGCTTCAAACTGCATCCTTAGTTCTCAGCCTCCTGAGTAGCTAGGATTACAGGCGTGAGCCACCAGTACCTGCCTATGACTTTTTTACCTATTGAATACACCATTCCTGACATGATGAAAAAATCTTTCCTGATGTCAGTTAACTCAGAAATATCCTTAAATATATCATTTATTTCTAAGTAATAATAAAAACATTATTATTTTGGTCCTTATTACTTACTTATAGTAACAGGATTTATTTTTCATTTCCAAACCTAAAAGAGAAGCCCCCCAAAACAAGAATTTCCATCAAGATGCCCAAAACAATTCAACCCTGCATCTTTCTATGTGAAATGTGACCTTCCTGTCATCTTTGTGCAAGTCAGACAATCTCGGCACTAACCTGAAGCTGTGCAGCTTCTTTGGTCCAGCTGTAGATTATACCCAGGAAAGCATCCACATTCCCAGGATCTTGGGCTGAGAGGGATGCAGAGTTGGCTGCATCCACCATTGTCAGGTGATGAACAGCCTACAAAACAAACAGTTGCTTCGTCATAATATGATGTCATCCAAAATAGAATACATTTGCATCAAAGCGCTGGGGTGCTGACTTTTAAAATTATTGCTATGGTTGTTTGCTCCACTGGAATCAAGTTTAGTTTTCAGAAATTAGAGCAACCTCTATAACCCAACCTATGCATGTTAACCCTTCACATTCCAGTGGTCCTTTTCCTAGTGTGTCCTCCCAAACTAAAGATCAAGTGCAAAGAAAGAAATATGTTTTGGTAAGTAGCTGTTTCCTCTAGTAAGACATTTTTGCCTTTCTCCCTTTTTTGATCTCTTGACATTTTTCCCTGCTGTTCAGACACTGGTGTTTGAACTCAGGGCATAAGTACTGTTCCTGACCTTTTTTGCTCAAGGCAAGCACTCTACCACTTGAGTCATATGTCCACTTTTGGTTTTGAGGTGGTTAATTGGAGATAAGAGCCTCTTGGATTTGTCTGACTGGGCTGGCTTTGAACCATGATCCTCAGATCTCAACCTCCAGAGTAGCTAGGATTACAGGTATGAGCCACTAATGCCAAGTTCTCTTGATTTGTTTTGCCTTATTTATTTACTTTAGTATAACTTTTTAAGACCTTAATTGGGTTTGTTTTCAATTTTAGACTCAGGTAACACTTCATTCTGTACAATAAAAAGGGATCCCTTCTATTTCATTTTTTAAAATTCAAAACTCATAAAGCAACATGAAACTCTTCTGCTAATTTGGAGTGGTATCCTATATCTATATTCTTCAGTAACTTATGAAGATAAGAATACTAAGTTGAAGCAAAAGGCTAAATGTTCTGTATCTACGATTTTGTTCAATCCAGAAGGCAAATACTCCTACAGATGAGAAAAGAGAGACAAAGAGATGCCAATTACTAGTTCTAATCATGCTGCTAGTAGTTAGCATTGATAACTCAAGGCTATCTAACTTTTGAAAATCAAAGGCTCAATTTAAATCTACAAGTTAATCTATTGCATATTACAGTTTGTAATATTAGAAAATGTACTCTCCTTTGACAATAAGATTAACCTTTTCTATTTATACAATTCCTATTCTCTTTTAAATTAATCATTATGTAGTTGAACAAAGGAGTTTCAATTCAACTTATCAGTTTATAAGTACAATGCATCTTGATCAACTTTTTAAATTTTTAAATTGTTATTATAAAGGTGATGTACAGAGGAGTTATAGTTACTTAAGTTAGGTAATGAGAGCATTTCTTTTTGGACAATCACTGCTTTGATTAACTTTTTAAAATTAATTTTATTGTCAAGGTGATGTACAGAATGGTTACAGTTACATATGTAAGGTAATGAGTACATTTCCTGATGAACATTGTCTTGATTAACTTTTAAGGTCACTTAAAAACCTTTATTCCAGACATGTACTAGTTATTGCAAATAAGGGAAATCATGGGACCGATGTTTCTTTGGGCCTGGCTTACTTCACTTGATATAATTTTTCCAAGTCTTTCCATTTCCTAACAAATGGGGCAATGTCATTTTTTCTGATGGAGGCATAGAATTCCATTATGTAAATATACCATATTTCCTTGATCCATTCATCTACGGAGGGGAATCTGGTTGGAAAAGGTCAGATAAGATGATGTTAAGCAAAATGAACCCCAAGATAAGGACACAAGTGGAATTTTCTTTCTGGCTATTGCTTCTAATGTATTTATAAGTTTTTTTTTTTTGTTGTTGTTGCTTTGTATGTCCCTCCCCCATGGTATAACCCCTGTTTTCACTGTTTGATGTTGGTATAATTTGGGGAAGGGAAGGGAAAAAACAAATTGTTTAAACAGGGATACAGGTTGACTCATTGCAACAATGAGATATAGAAGACATTATGTCGAAAAATGAACTTTACACTTTAGGCTAGAGGGGTGGAGATGGGAGGGAAGGGATGGTAGGGGAAAAACAAAGGAAGAGACAACATTGCTTGATAAGAAATGTACTCATTACCTTGCTCATGTAACTGTAATCTCTCCTCTGTACAGTATCTCACAATAATAAAACTTATTTTAAAAAAAAAGAACAACTTTTTTTTTCCAGACAGAAAGCCAGCTGACTCACCACTGCATGATTTTCCATCTGTCTGAAGTGTTGAGCCTTCAGGACAGAAGCACCGGGGGCCGTCTGGCGTCAGAACACAGCCATGGCTACATTCACTTGCGTTGCTTGGACAGGAAACAAATTCTAGTTAATGAAGAAACAAAGTTTAGTGTAAAATCAAGTTTATGGGAATTCATTACAAGCAGTTGCTAATAAAAAGTACTATTTGCTAGTGGCTCAAGTAGGTAAATCCTAGCTACTCAGGAGGCTGAGATCTGAGGATCATATTTCAAAGCCAACTCAGGAAGGAAATTCCATGAGATTTTTATTAACAACTAACTAGGAAAAGCCACAGTGTAGGGATAGCTCAAGCAGTAGAGAGACAGACTTAAGCAAAAAATGCTAAGAGATAGGATCCAGGCTCTTTATCAGCACACACACACACACACACACACACACACACAGGTGCTATGCTATCCATACAAATTAGGATACATGTCTATAGTCTGAATATTCAACAGGCTAAGACAGGAGTATCTCAAGTTCAAGACAAGATTAGGCTATGTAGAAAGATCTGTCTAATCGAAAACATGCTATCCTACAAAAAGGATGTTAAAGATTAAACATTTATGCAATGCCTTAATATCTGGAATGTAAAACAACAACAACAACAAAAAACGGGCAAAAAAAATCATGGCTATAAATTCTCATTACTCAAGAGGCTGAGATCTGAGGATCTCGGTTCAAAGCCAGACTGAGGATACAAATGACTTTTATCTCTAATTAACGAGCAAAAATCTAGAAGTAGAACTGTAGCTCAGTTGGTAGAGCTTCAGTCCATGAGTAGAAACTGGATTGAGAGCTGGAGGCCCAAGTGCAAACTCCAGAAACAACACACACACACACACACACACACACACACACACACACACACACACACACATACATATACACACACACTCACAGAGTCACAAACACAAATTTTAATCTAAAAATATTAAATAGTTCGGATTTTGGAAGGAGTTTCATTTTAGTGTCTTTTATCTCAAATAAGTAAGTCATCAAAATAAGTCATCAAAATTCCAAACTGTTTTAAATGCAACTGCACCAAATGATTCTCAAGTTCATCTGGAAAAGAAATTACATGTATAAGAAAAACTAAAGCTATTTGTTCATGTGGGTAATTAGAAAGAGATGCTCTTAACAAAGTCCAAAATGTGTGGTAAATATATTATAAATAAGTGATCATAAATATACATAAAGTACAATCATTAAAACACTGGAGACACCCGGTGCTGGTGGCTCATGACTGTGATCCTAGCTCCTAGGAGACTGAGATCTGAACTTGGCCATTCAGAGCCAGTCCAGGAGAAAAAGTCCCTGTGAGACTCTTATCTCCAATAAATCACTCAAAAACCAGAAGTGGTGCTGTGGCTCAAAGTAGTAGAGTGCTAGCCTTGAGCAAAAGAGCTCAGGGATAGCATCTAGGCCCTGGGTTCAAGTCCCATGACTAGAAACACACACACACACACACACACACACACACACACACACACACACCAACAGTGGAGAATGAGTATAGCAACAGAGAGAAAATAATAGGACAGGAAAGAACTTCAGCTTAAGAAACAACTCAAGTACAAATGAGAATGTATGATGTAAGGTATGTAAGGTGATATTTGACATTTTTAAATTGCTTTTCACTAGGTCTGTGGTAGAGTCCAGTTCTCCATATTTTTTAAAGCAAAACAAAGGTAAACACCAAGAAAATATCAACTCTCACTCCTAACTGAAGTCCACCAACTTAGATCATAGTCACCTTAGAAACAGGACTGAAAATAAAAATAAAACACAATGAATAGTTGTCACTGTGACTTACGGTGACACCGTTTCCCATCCGGAAGAAGGACAAAGCCAGCAGGGCACGTGCAATAATAGGATCCAGGGATGTTTTCACATCCAAGAGTACAGCCATGACTCCAAAGGGCACATTCGTTGACATCTGCACAAGGACCGTAGAAGAGCAGAGTCAGATGGTCAATGGTTAATGATGAATATAAAAGGCAGTATCGCTATCAGCACTGGGTAGGGTAGCTCTGCTTGTATGTATGGGAGCTGATGTTGAGAAGGTTGTTTTTTGTTTTTTGTTTTCCCAGTACTCAGGAAGGATGGCATTCATTACATGACCATGGAAGCCATTTCTTTTTCATCACAGTTTCTACAGCTCTTTCATGGATTTGCATACAAGAATTACCTTTTGTTTTGGGTCCAGTCATGGGGCCTGAACTCTGGGCCTGGGCGCTGTCCCTCAGCTCTTCAGCTCAAGGTTAGCACTCTACCACTTGAACCACAGCACCACTTCCAGCTTTTTTTTTTCTGTTTATGTGGTGCTGAGGAATCAAACCCAGGGCCTCATGCATGCAAGGCAAGCGCTCTACCACTGAGCCACATTCCCAGCCCAAGAATTACCTTTTGATATGGCCACCCTATATCCTTAGAAAAGACATAGGATCCCATTTAAGTTAGGGACTATTGGATGTTCCTAATAAGTTGGTGGCATTACCTGTTCTTCTAAAACTAAATGTAGACATATTTCCCCAGCAGCTTTGCTGTGGCTGAAGTGCCAGAACCAGAAGCAGCTCACTGCCCGCACTGGCCCTGAGGAAGCACGGGGCTATCATTCATACCCAGATGCTAGATTTACGGGTATTTGTGACTCACCCTATTTCTGCCGCATTCATTTATCACAAAACCACTGCACCTTCTAGGAAAACATTTGCCACATTTCTCCCAGGTTCATTCAACCAAACCTAAATAAGCAGTCCGACTGACATTTCCCCAGGATTCAGACAGTCTTACAGGGTGAGATGTGAGAATCCCAGAGAACCCAACCATAACTATGGAACTACGCTGCTAACAGGAAAGTTGCCTGTCCTGATTTGCACAGTCAAATGAAAGAGAAAAAAAATCCCTAGAGCACAATCTGAGAATTCTTGAACATATCCATTCTTAAACAGCTTATGAAAGTGTTTGACCTGAGACTCCAAAATAGAAAAAGATCTGAGACTTTGAAAACACAAAGGGGTGGGGGTGAGGGCCAAACAGTGCTCTTCTGGGAAAGGAATTAAAAATAAGGGAAGGGGGCTGGGAAGGTGGCTCAGTGGTAGAGTACTTGAATGCATGAAGCCCAGGGTTCGGTTCCTAAGCACCACTTAAGCAGAAAAAGCCAGAAGTGGCGCTGTGGCTCAAGTGCTAGAGCACTAGCCTTGAGCTGAAGAGCTGAGGGACAGCGCCCAGGCCCAGAGTTCAGGCCCCATGACCAACACAAAAATCAATCAATCAATAAAATAAAATAAAAGAAGGGAAAGGTGAACTTGAAGCTGGTTCCATCTCAGGCCCTGCCCGGCCTCCTGAATAGCCCCTGGATAGGAGTAGGATTTCCAGGCTTTGCAGAACCGTGCATGTGTTACCTTCACAGTGCTTTCCATCTGGGCTTAAAGTATAGCCCTCCGCACATGCGCACAACTGGGACTTGGGGTCTCGTCCACACAGGCCCCGACTGCAGTTTCCTTTCTTCAGCTTGCAGAGTTTCTGCCCTGAAACAGAAGAGGTTTATTTGGAGTGAGTGGACATGTGTTCTCATAGCAGACAATGTTTGACCCCCACAGGGGGCTTAAGAAAGTCTATACTTCCCCTTGATGTCAACAGTAGTGGTGGTATCTTTTGCTGCAAAGAGCCAAAGCACATTCGTCTAGATTTCCTAGAATGAGGAAGGTGGTTGGTTCTCCCCTGGTGCCACTCCCAGAGCCCCCCTCAAGATAAAGAGCCCTAACCAACTAGAGATGGCATTCGTTAGACTGCAAACATTGAACGTCTACATAGTTATTTCATTCTGATTTTTGTGTACCAACAAAAAGCACATAGCCAGATGCTGGTAGCTCATTGTCTGTAATCCCAGCTACTTAGGAGGCTGAGGTCTGAGGATTAAGGTTGGAAGGCAGCCCAGTCAGGAAACTCAGGAAGACTCTTCTCTCCAACGAAGAAAGAGGAAGAAGGAGGAAGGAGGAGGTGGAGGGGGGAGGGAGGGAGGGAGGGAGGGAAGGAAGGAAGGAAGGAAGGAAGGAAGGAAGGAAGGAAGGAAGGAAGGAAGGAAGGAAGGAAGGAAGGAAGGAA